TTCCAGCAGCAATATAGCTTAATGAATTGGATGGCAGCATTAAAGAAAAAATGTGAAGATATTTCTTATAAATACTACAAACTATCTCCATTAGTAGAGCTTGATACTCCTGTAACATGAAACAAATTTACCACATGGATTTATCAAGGTAGGCAATGTATGGTGGTTTAAAAACACAACTGCAGCTTCAGCAAATGACTGAACCATGTTGTTGCTGCTGTTGTTATTATAGCTCTTATTGCTGATGTTTTAGATCTTGCTGCTGCTGGTGTTGTTGTAGATCTCTTTGCTGCTTGTGTTGTTACTGTAGCTCTTGCTGTTGTTGCTGTAGCTCTTGCTGTTGTTGCTATAGCTCTTGTTGCTGCTGGTGATGCTGAAGTTCTCATTGCAGCTGTTGTTGTAGCTCTTGTTGCTGCTGTTGTTGTTGTAGATCTTGTTACTGCTGTTGATGGCCAGTCATACCAAAAGAAGCAGCAGAATTTGCAGTCAGATTGTTTTTATTTTGTTGTTCATATAACGTATCTTGAGAGGCTTACAAGTCAGACAGTCAGGACATGTACAATTATTCCATTGCAAACTGATCTTTCAACATGAAATGCAGTGTAGGATGAGGCCTGGCAAATCGTCATGTGAGACAAGACGTTCTTCATGGTCTAGCATGTTGTAATGAATGGAACATCCAACACATGCTGGCATACTGCAGTCCTTACTTAGGCTCCTTGAAATCCAAAAAATATGGTCTATAGTATCAATCAGAGAAGGTTAATATTGTGTATGAAATATAAAAATAACAAAATTTAGAGCTTCAAAAGTCTGACCTTTTTGAAGCTCTGCTTGTGCTAGTATTATGCAATTAAATTTGATTATTACCTCAATTAATCTTGCATTGCCAGAGTAGTGATTTTGAATAATAGCTTACAAAACTTTTGTTCACATGCAACTTCCACATCCATTGCCTTTGCGGATAAAATACCAACCACATTGAAGGAAATGGTACCACACAGCAATTGTATTGGTGGGTTTAACTGGTAGTAAAATTACTCAATGGTGTGGCACCATTGCCTTCAAAATCACCAATCCGAAATGAAAATATAACTAAAATGAGCAATTGTACTCAACTGGCACAAAACCATGTTTCATTCACCAAGGGTCATTATACCATCAACCAGGACTACTCAGAACAGTCCTCCAACACGGCGTAAAACTGTTTTAGTAGCAAAACTAATTGGAATATTGCAAAACTAAATATAGTGGCATAAGCGTCAACATTTTTCCTATCTATGTAATATAAAAGAAGTTCAAAAATACTACATTTACTAGCTTAGAAAAATTCCTAAAAGAATGGTGAGAAACAATATTTTGAAAAGTTACTTCTGCTATGGTCTGCAGTAAAAAAAATATTTGCCATATTAAAAAATTTTGCTTAGAAAAAAGTGTCAGCATGAAAACTTTATTTGCAGAATTTACATACCTCAATCCAAAAAATGGCGGCCATTTCTGCACGGCGGGGCTACTTGGGACACCCCCCTCCCCTGGGGCCATTCGAAACACCCCCAAAAATGCGTTCACAGCATAACCTTGGTTAGCAAAGACTCCAGTAATAAGAATTCTCATTTCATAGCCAGAATTGTGCACCGGGCAACATAGAATGAAAAATACATTACCTAAACGATGATCTATTTCTCCAAAAATATTATGTATGTCTCTAAATGATCCCTTTATTTTTCAGGTTTTATGATCTTTTTCTCTTATAGAAAATTCACTTGAGCCTATTAAAATGGTGAGACATTATAAGCCCACAGAAAAACTCATACGAAGGAAATTGCATTCAACTGCTGATATCAAGCTGGCAGTGGACAGTGTCATTGTTGATGGCATGTCCATTAGAGATGTAGCGCAAATGCATAATGTGCCTCTAAATACGCTGCAAAGATATGTCAGACAACGCAGGACTGCAGGGAATGCAACTCATGACTTTCTTCATATGGGGGCACCCAATATCACTTCTTGTGCATGAAGAAAGGATCATCACCCAAAACCTAGTTGTTTTGGCTGATTAAGGGTGCCCTCTGACCCATCTTGAGATACAAATGATTGTAAGGGACTTCTTGAATAAGAGTGGCAGGAATATCACCACCTTCAAAAACAATCTGTCTGGTATCGACTGGGTTAATAATTTTATTGCCCGATACAAGCACTTGCTCTCTACGAGAATGTGTCACAATATCAAAAAAAAGGGCAGAGATCTCAAGTGAAGTCATTAGCAAGTTTTTTGACAACATTGCCCATGTGCTGCAAGGCGTGCCTAACACGAATATCAGAAACTACGATGAGACAAATTTCACCAACAACCCTGGGAAGTCCCAGATGATCTTCAGGCGAGGGATGAAATACCCTGAGAGGGTGATGAATTTCAGGAAGACCAGCTATTCAGTGATGTTTGCAGGTACTGCTTCATCCACCTTATGTTGCTTATAAAGGTATCAGATTGCAAGAGGCAGGGACCGAAGGAGGCCCTCATGGCTGTCGCTACAATGTCAGTAAAAGTGGCTGGTTCGATGCTGACATGTTTTATGATTGGTTTAAAACTCTTCTGCCGCCCTTCTGTAAGAATTTGGAAGGTCACAAAGTGTTAATTGGAGATAACCTCTCCTCTCATCTGCACCAGGATGTAATTCAACTTTGCAATGCAAACAATACAAGCTTTGTCTTTTTGCCATCCAATGAAACGCATCTATTGCAGCCCCTGGATGTGGTTTCCTATGTGCCATTGAAAAGGAAATGGCACAAGACCCTTACAAATTGGAAGAAAACTTTTGGCAAGAACATTGCAACACTCCCAAAAGACTGGTTTCCATGCCTCCACTCAAACCTCTTGCACTCAATCAACAATGAAGTCAAACACAATATGAGTATGGGCTTTCAAGCCACAGGATTGTGCCCACTTGACAAGGAGCGCGTGCTCAGAAAACTTCACAGAGAAACCACGCAAGAAGATATTGAAAATACAAGGAACTTTGTTTTGGATGCTGTGCTGGAGAAACTCCTAGAAATCCGCTCACCGCCCACTGAAGCCGATGCCCGATAATGCACCCAAATGAAGAATTCGATACCAACCTTTTATGTTTTCTGGACGTTTCAGAAAATTATCTAGCAATTAGTTCAATCGAGAAATGAACTTTTCTGTGACCCATATATGTTGGTGCGACTAAATTTTTCTAAGTGAATATAAAAATTGTATATGTGAAATTAAAAGTTTTCTCGACGTTTCAGATGATTTGCAGCCTTTTATTTTTTTGAACCTGGTCCGCCTGTCCAGTCCGGGTCCGGGTTTTAGTCACTCGGTCCGGGTCCGGCGGACCGGTCCGGGTCCAGGTTTTAGTCAGTACCTTTCGGATAAGCATCAAAGGTCTGCAAGAAAAGCCTCCAGTTAGCCATGTGATAATGGTGGAGAGTCGGGGTAAGTGTGGGGGGAAGAAGATGCTGGGGATAGTAAGGCAGGGAAACAATGACGCGAGGTTAATGTCTTGTGGACTCAATGTGGAGCTAGTATGGAATATATCTACTTGGCGAGCCGCGACTGAATTTTTCAAGCCGTGGTTTTATGGATTTGCCAGCCGTGATTCCATTTCTACGAGCCTTGATTCTATTTCACCGAGCCGTGAATTCCATATCTCGGCCATGAAAAGCCATTTACGAGGTGCGAATGC